AGGCCTAAGTCGTGTAGGCTTAGGCGAGACGGGCGATGCGCTGGCAGGTGCGGGCCGCGACCGCATAGGCAAAGGAGTACCGGGCGACGACACGTACACGCGGGAGGATGGCAGGAGCGACGAGGAGCGCGCGATAGCGCGCGAGTATGAGGCAAACGCGGGACTCCTAGGCGGGGCAGGATTAGGCGACGCACGAGCGCTGGGCGCGCACGTGCGATGTGAGGGCGGCAGACTGAGCGCGCGCGCAAAGGACGCTGCGTGGGAGTCAAGTGCGCGGGTTGCCGCGCGCCACGAGGAGTAGGAAAGGTGAGGCGGCGCGCGCAAGCTGGCGGATGCGCGCGACGCGTATGGAAGGCGACCGAAGGTTCGATAGTCTTGGGGCATGCAAACGACTTGCGCATCAAGATGCTTGGTGTGCAAGTCAAGACAATTAATATTATAGTAGTAATAGGATTTTATTGCTTCCTAGTGTTAGGATTTCTATTATTGCAAGATTTAGGAGATCTAGTATAGTTAGGCTTAGATTTATTTTGCACATATAAATACCCCATGTACCCAACATAATTTGATTTCTTTAATTGAGTATTGAATTGGTAAGCCAATTTAGAGGGGAACTTATGTTCTTACGTGTGTTTAAACAAGGTCGTTAGTGTGTGTTTACATACAGTGTCGGAGAGAAGACCATTAGAGCGTCTTGAAGTCACAGTGTCTAGGAGAAGGCCGATAGTGCGTCTGTTAGATACACCTATCGTGGATAAACGAAGGCCCTAGTGCGCATTTATTCACAACCCACGTATATATAACAACACGATCCGTCATCAGCCGTTCCCAGCGCACGCGCGGTACCAGTCGCACCCGCCAGGGCGCAGACCATGTCATCCACGCACGGGCCGGCGCCAGCAGCGCCCAGCAGTGCCGGCAACGCCCAGGATGCGCCCGGTTCGTGTGAGCTTTTGGATTGTATTTATTCGATTTCCCATTTGACTGAAATAAATGTTTTCACATTGTTGCATTCTTTATGATTGCTTGTATGCTAAATGTCCAATTATCTTATATTGTAGACAATGTGGTGTGTTAGTAGTCACACAAAAGATTACATTGTCTGTCTCTTATAAGATATAAATGGTATTCACAACTGAGATAGTTATGGACATGACTATCGGTTTAGGTTGTAGTATAAAATGGATATAGCTTGTCTTGGCTATTGGTTTATACTAGTGCGCTGCGTCGCATTGAATGGATCACAGTTGAGACGTGTTCTTCAGTTCTGACTATCATAAAGAACCTAGGTCTCGGTGACTCTACTAATTCTTAACCCTAATTGTGATACTTAGATATGTGGGATATTTGTTTGTTACTTTGATTTACCATGGGTGAGAGCCAAGTATTGGTTCAATATGCTCTGTATCTTGGGTAACAACATTATCTGCATGATATCTATTTATTGGCATTAGGGCACCGTGTCCTAGACATCCAGGTTGATCACGTCCCCTTAAGGAACTCATAAGGATTATCGTACAAACCCTGCAGGTGGATTTAATCCGTACGATAATAAGGTTGAGTGGTACTACTTAAGGAATAAAAGATATAAATTAATTAAAGCAGTCAGAAGCTTTAATAATTAATGGACGTGCGATATCTTAAACACGAGGAATTATATTGAGTCTAATAGAAGCCCTGATTCATTTCGGGATAGGACGAGAGTGCAATATTAATTCTCTAGTGGAATGAATTAATATTTACAGGCCAAATTGTGTTCTAGGCTGAACATCAGAATTTGGGCCTGTAGGGAGCCCAAACCCTATACCTTCTAAGAGATCCCCTAGTCTGGCCCAAGGACTCTATAAAAGGAGGGATAAGCACACGTTCTTGAACCCTAAGAGATCAGTTCACGTCTTCAGCCACCACACCAACGTGGGAGAAGGAAGAAGGAAACGTGAGGGGTTCAGAGAAGAACAAAAGGCAATCCGCTCCTTTCAACCATTTGGAGGATCATCGTCCATCCGGCGTCCAAACATGGTCGGGACACAGACTAGAAGATCGCTCAAATCGAATCGAAGCCTTGAAGAAAGGTATATCTCTGTTCGTCCTTTAGGAGCATGCTTAGGTTTATTCGAAATCATGTATGTACATGTTTGGTATCCGATATCGATCCGTGGGTAGGACCGCCTCGTCGGCGTGTTCCAGCAATTGGTATCAGAGCCTCGGTTTCGTAGATTGTCGGCTCTGCCTGGAACATGTAGTTGATTTCGTTTATTCGTTTATTCGTTTTCAGTCATGTTCATGGTATGGATGAATTTTTATCTCGTTTATGCTTCTGGATGGTGTCTATTGCAGCCCTTGTTGTTTGTTGTAATCGTTTTTCCCACCAGATAATAAGTGTGGGAAGTATAGGCGATTTTGTAGACTGTAGTAGGGCTGTTGCTGTTTGATTTTTTGCTGTAATTTTGTGTTCAAAGTCGAACATGATGAAGATGATCAATCTGGAGGCGGCGGCTAGGGTTTCAGCATTCACCGGGGCCGGTTTTGTCGGCGGAAACCGTTTTGGCCATAACTTTTGCTACAGGTGTCCAATTTCAGCCCATAATACCATTTCGGAAACGGGAGAGCGAGATCTACACATGTCACCGCTTTGCTGAGACAGCCTGGGCGGGGTCAAATTCAATCGTCTAGATGAAGTTTTCGGCCCTTTTCCGTCGGTGGGTGCGGACAATGCGTGAATGGCCCGATTTACGCGAGATGCCGATTCGAGTGTTCATCCACAACCTTGCTAAATCATGTAATAGCTTTGCTAGGCTGTTAGTGGTTAGTTTTAAGGGGCTGCGATAGATGTGTTTTAATTTTTGCAATTTTATCGCTTTGTGGATGCCGATTTAATTTTTGCTAGAACATGTTTATTTGATTATGTGTCTAGCTGATTTAAATCGATTTTCTGGCATGCTAGAAATCATGTGAATAGGTGCTATAAATTCTTAGAAAGCTGCCATTGCTTTTGTTTTGAATTTTAGGAGCATGCTAGGATTTATGTGATTTGCGTGTTAGGAGCATGATAGGAATTGTATTATTTCTTATTGCATGCTGTTAAAAACGTTCAAGTAAAAATGACTAAGTGAGTTTAAGAATTTTAATTAATTCATTTGGCCTCCACAACTGGTCTTTAAGTAAGGTGTCTGTCGCTCGCGGGACCCTGGAAGTCTCCCCCTAACGGATGCGGCATTCACGAGCTTACTAGATAAGACTTCTATTCAAACGACTTAACCTTTAGGTCAAGTGAGTGGCATACGTGTGACCCTTGGGGTCTCCTCCCTAACGGATAGTGTCATT